CGCGGCCCCCAGAGACCTGCCGAGCGCGCCCCCGCGGTGGCCGAGGCAGTGAGGCCTCGGGAGTGCGCGCTCCGGTTTGCAGCCTCCCGCTAACCCTGCGTTCCCGGGGATTTGCCGCCTTGTCTTGTAATGGCCCACGAATCCTTTGAAACAAGCCCTGCTGCAGGCCAGAGATGAGGGCAAGAGCTAACGAGGTGGCCCCGTTCCATCAGATAGATGGGTGGGCTGAAATAACACGGGGACATGTTTAAAGTACTCTGTTGACAGAATCTGCAAGCATAAAATAGAATGGAAAATGTTGTATCATCAAAGTATTTTTTCTTGCTGAGCAAATAACTGCTTCCCGGCTTCTGCAACAGACCAACACTAGCCAGCAAAAATAACAGTTAAACTGCAAAGAAGGTTTGTGCTGTTCCAGAAACATCTAAATCTTTAGCTGGCAATATGTTAAAATGTAAAGAAAAATGAACTTGAGTCTTTTTATTCCAGTTGTGTAATTTAATGTATTGGGTGCTTAAGAAACCCAAGTGTCAACTGCATTTGCATAGGCAACATAACCAAATAGTTGCACTCTTGACATCTGACAAAACAGCCTCTGTGAATGTGAGTGATTACTCAGTTGCTGAATGCCAACAGAAGATAAAGAATAATGGAATCTGTTTGCCTGAAAAGTAATTTGCTGGTGTTATTACTCCTGAGTTATCAGCTGAGATTTATGAACTGCCAGGAAACCCCTTAGATGACTGTTTGTTAAGTCACTGGTTTTAGTGGTCTCAGTAATCCAAGTCTGTTTAGTTTTCAAGTACTTTGGGAACTGCTTGATAAAATTTTTACATACATCAGACTTGATGCATATACCATTAAATGCTGTTTTGTGTGTGCAAAGGTCTGGAAGGTTCCTGCTAGTAAAGGGGGGCACTTGCAATGTGCACTCCCATGTGAAGTACACTCAACCCAGAAGTATACACACAGCATCTGGAGCTATATTGTAGTCACTTAGCTATTCAGCTACCAAAATAAACTCTTCCAAAAACTTCCATCTCACTTTATTTTTTCCTAATATTTGCCAGAGGTAGAGATCTATTTCCTGAGAATCTCCCTTCTTCTGTTTACAACAATGGAATTGGGTGAAATTGATCCCAGTGTTTTCATGCCTCACTATTAATTAATTTTGGAACTAGTATTAAATCTCATTAACTAGAGTACTGATTCTTCTGTTTGTTGCGTTTGCTGTGAAGATAAGCCTTCTGTGTTTTGCATGGAGCTTCACTAATTTAGTCTAATGTAATTTAAAATAATCTAAAATTAATAGAAGACACAATTATTTTAGGAAAACTGAAATTTATTTCTCAAAAGCAAGAGTCTCTGAACAATCCTGAGAAATTGCCCATATTAGTGTAACTTTCCATCTCGAACTGCAGACCTGTGAGTTTAAATGTGTTGAATGTATCTTGTGGTATTGCAGGATTTTATTTATGGGATTTTATGCAACTATAAGAATGTTCTACTATAACAAAGGCCATACAGAGTTACAGACTGCTTTTCTAAAAGATAGTAATTGTATTCTTACTTCCCTCAAACTACATAGTACTAATGGCATAGAAAAACTATATTTTTGAACAATTTTCAGTTTATAGTGGCATCCTTAATACAGCCCTTCTGTCACCAGCTATTACCTCTTGTAGCACAAATTAAAGAGGAAAAGTTAATGGCAGACCAGCAGGCTCTTTGTCAGTAGAGACGCTGGTTTAGCAGGCATCTCTAAACAACTTTTAGGGTTGACTGTAGACTATCCATGGGGTTAATCTAATTCATAATCATAGTAATCATCATCTGTGTTTATTCCAGTGCTGGAGGCCTCATGGGGTTTCATTTTCTTTCTGTCCTCTCTGCCTCTTTCTGTGGAAGATACATTATCTTCACACTGCTGCAGAATCTTTTTGGAAGACATCCAGCTTTCTCCTCGGCTTTCTGCTGGTGCCACGCACTGCCCTCCCCTGACATCTGTTCCTTTGGCCACCAGTGCTCTTCTGGTTCTCAGAAGGTCACAGGTGCAGTTCCAAGGGTTTCCATCTAAATACAGATGACGAAGACGAGGTAAGTACTCTAGGACTTTGCGATCCAAGGCAGATATCTTGTTATTCCGTAAATTTAAAACCTGAAGCTGTTTCAAGTCCTTCAGCTCTTGTTCTCCAACATCTTTGATGTCATTTCCCTTTAGATCCAATCTAGCAAGCGTGTCTGGAAGTCTGAATAAAAACAGATCAAGATAAAGGTGTTATGTTCATCATATTGACTCTGTTTGTGTGATAGTTGGTGATGGGTATTTGCCCAGGCACATCTGATGTGTTAAAATAAAACTATCACTAACAAAAAATGCAGTCTTCTGCAAAAAAAAGATGTGATCCTGAAGTATTCATGTATTTTTTATTTTTTTTTTTAAGTTATAGGAATAGAATCATAGAATGGCGTAAGCTGGAAGGGACCTTAGAGATCATTTTAATCCAGCCTCCCTGCTGCCAGGGACGCCACCTCTCGACTAGATCAGGCAACACATGGGACCGAACGGGAATCGAACCCGCGACCTTAACGCTGTTAGCGCTACACTCTACTGACTGAGTTAACCGGCCCCCTAAATACTGGCTATGCACAGTTGTTTTCTCAAATTATTGCAGTTCTTACCTGTACTGACTGAGTTTGTGCAGCTGAACTAAACAGCAGTCCTATCGTACTGTAGTATGGGAAAAAGTGATATGTTCAACTGAGTGTCAAGCTTAAAAATGCATTTTATACTCTTCAATGCGATAAGTATCCCAATAATCAGATTATAGCAGCATGAAAGATCAAAAGTTTGGAGGAGCATGGCAACACTGCTCCTTCAAGTACTTCTATATACTATTTGTCTAAAAATGTTTTTTAGTTCATGAAGAACTAGAATTTTTCTTTATTTCGGTCTCCTGCTCACATCAGATTCAAACATTAATCCTCACAGAGGTAGTCCATCTGATCATATCCTGTTTAAGGAAATAGCAACAGGGAAAACAAACGATTTTTGGTGGTCTTTTAAAACAGTGCTTTAGAGAATTAGAACTGGTTACAATAAAGTAAAAAAAAAAAGCTCCTTGTCTCTAGGTATGATACTAGACTGGTCAGTATCATTCTTATTTTCATATATCTTACAAAGTTGTATGGTAAAACTTTTATTTCAAAAGTCTTACTCATTTCCTCCTGCTGTGGTTGGTGACAAGTGCTTCAGAGAAAAGCCAGTTAATTGGATGGAATATTTTTAATATTAATTTGAAAGTACCTTAAAAATCATTTTACTATGGTAGCATGCAGGGTGATGAAATTAAGAGTCATAGTTAGAGATTTTAAGGAAACTTACTCACCGAGACTATTAGGGAAATGCTAAATAATACTGCCAAGAGCTATTTAGAATAGAACAGCAGTATACTACAGCCAGTAAAGGTTGATGTGATAGTTTATCTCAATATAATGATATGAGATAGTGTAGAAAATCGTTTTTTCTGAGGCTGATTTTGACCTTTCAGGCTGAAATGTGGTTGCCATATTTGTGTAAATCTCACAACTTCAAGCAGGACTTTTTTGAGAGTAGGGCGGTTCTGTATTGTGCTGTATTTTCCAGAATGAGAGGAGAATTTCATGTGTCCATATGATGAAATGCTCCACAAAATTTGCTACTACAAAATGCTTTTGACTGCAATAAATCCATGATGAAACCTAACCGTGGGTGATTATTATAGTGGCCCATATGACACAGCAATGTCAGAAGGGTACTCTGGGGTAGAACACTAGAGCTGCTGATGTTAAACGCAGTAGGATAAAGTCTAAAGCCTTAAGTTCGTAAAAGTGTGAAGAGTCTTCCTGCACTAAAGTTAGACTTGGGCTTCATGGCTGCATTGTTTGACTTCAGGCTGTGTTGGAAAATAATGGCACTGGAGCACGACGTGGTGAGTGATCCTGCTCACTTGGGAGTGGACCACAGCAGCCGTGCTGTGCTGCTGCCGCTCCTGGGAGCGTCATCAGCCTCATCTCTGCCTTCCTGTTCTCACTACCCCCCGTAAGACTTTATGGAGTATAGGCTCTTCCCCACAAGTCCTGAAAATACTTGGACTTACAGATTATTTTTTTTCCTCAGAAAAAAACAAAAGAAGCTTGCTTTCTCCTCATTCCTGCCAAATAAATACTAAGACGTATTTATTAACTGTGGCACATTAACTACATGTTTTAACCTTTGACACTGGTTACTGAGTTCTCTCAGATAACTGTCAGAAGTAATACTTTTATTTCTGTTTATCTGTGCCTAGCTAGTGATCATCAGACAATTAAGTATGTAAATTTTACATCTTTGGGTTTTTTTCCTTCTTTATGTTCACAGCCTCCCCTTGAAATCTATATTCATTGTTGAGTTGAAAGTAAAATTTCCCAATACCTCTTTTTAAAGCAGTACTGTTTCAAGGCTAATAGAGAACTCCTTCTTGTTAATTCTCTTGACTACGAAGGTTGTAAAATAAGATGGATTAGACAATACTAAAGTAACTAGAAAGCATTAAACATTCCTGCAAAGCTAGACTGAAATAAAATATTTATACGCCACTAAATCACTTTCTGATTATAAAGCTGCTGCCAAATATATTCAAATGTTAAAGGACCTGATGCTAAATGAATTGAAATTTTACTGCATCATTTATTTGGGCTAGTTAAACCTGTCCACAAGCCATAAAAATAAAATTTAATAGTGTAGTTTTGTTAAAGATGTTGATGTTAATGGAATTACTTCACTATTTTTTTATGTCATTTTATTCCACAGCTTCTCGAAATAATAAAATTGCCTCTTTAGATCAGACTAGCCTCCATTTGGCTTAATATGCCATCTGTGATAATGGCCAGGACCAAGACTCAGATGAATGCAAAAGAACTTGTAAGCATGGCATTAACGAACACAGTGTGCCCAAGGGATGTTTCTTCTGTGCTCCTTTGACTGGAATTTTGCTTCTAGCCTTAAGCCAAAGACCTTTATACACATTCCACATAATTTGTAATGTGTGAATTTAATGAAGTTGGGAATGCTAATATCCACTGCAAATGCACATTCTTTCTGACCAGACTCAGCTTCCAAAATTTTCATATTTTAACAGTCATAAAACTAAGTGTGGGTTGGTAGAAATATCATCTTGAAAATTGCTGTCTTTCCTTTATATTGAATGCTCAGTTAATTTTGTGTTATGGGGGAAGATAAATCCACATGGCAGTATAACTTCTCTGTAATAATTGTGTTATATTCTCCTAGCAGGTTACTCCTATTCGTGTACCAATTAAACAAAGTAGTCTCACTGGCAGGGAGAAATGTGAGACGAGCAGACTCTCTGGGGGCCACAGATGTAATGAAAATAGCTCTACTTCTATGCTAAGACTGCTAACGAGAGTGCTAATTAGTGCCAGTTATGGCAATGGGTTTATAGTATGGATAGACTTCTACCATGACCGAGTCCGAATACGATTATTTTTTTTTCCCGTTTGGCCCTCATTCTTACAACGGGAGGAAGGAGAGGTGACACCTGGGAACCAGCTGTCCTCAGATTCACTTGCCTCAGCGGAATAGAAATGAGGAGATTCTGTTCCAGCGCCAGGTTGGAAAGTTGTGCGCACTGCTGAAGAGCTCCTGCCTCAAACGTGCTAACAGCGTTGTTGTCAAGAAACAAGTGCTTGAGGTCTTGTAGTCCTTGGAAATCCTGCGCTGTCACCCTTCGAATCAGGTTATTGCTGCAGTCGAGTTTCTGCAGTCTGCTGGGCAGCCTGAGCGGCAGAGAATGGAGCTGGTTCTTAGAGAGCTCCAGTGTTGTTAAGTTAGGAAGGAGCTGGACACCATCTATTGATGTTAGCTGATTTTCTGACAGGAAGAACTCAGACAGGTTTTCTAGGTGTTTCACATCTCGAAGTCTTATAGTGTTAAGTTGGTTTTTCTCTAATTTTAGTGAGAGCAGTGATCTGGGTAGGTCAAGAGGCACTTTTGTCAGAAAGTTGCCACTTAAACTGAGAAACCGTAGATGTTGGAAAGAGGCAAAGAAGTTGGTTGGGAGTGAATTCAGTTTATTATCAGTCATGCTCAGATACTTCAGCCTAGGAAGCTTAAGTGGTGCAGACACAGATTCCATGTTGTTGCCATCCAGAATCAGACTTTGTAAATTGCGGAGAGAAGAAAATGCATTCGGAGGCAGAGTCGCAATAAAGTTGTTCCGAATATCGAGCACTCTTAGTTTCATCAAACCTTCAAAATCAGATGCATGCAGAGTGTTGATGGAGTTATCAGTGAGTTTTAAAATTTCAAGGCCGGATGGGAGGAAGGTGGGTATTTGCTTTAGCTGATTTTTATAGAGTTCCAGGGACTTCAAGGTGCTCAGAGACTTGAAAGTGTTGTTTTCTATTGATTCTGTGCCACTGCACGACAGCACCAGCTCTTCAAGGGCTAACATTCTCCTGAAGTCATTTATCTTAAAGAGAAAAATATGGTTAATATGATAGTACACCATGCGGATCTCCTAGCTGGTTACTTCTTCTGGATTATCTTACAATTGCTGGTATATATAGAGAAACTGTATTTGGAATTATAAGCTAAAAGAAATGGTAACGATAGAGGTTAACACCTCTATATTGGTTTGACAATATTTACTTACATTTCTAGAATTTTATTGTTTATTTATTGTGTTTGGCTCTAACACACATTTGAAGCTAACACACGTTTGAAGAAGGAATATTCCTTTTATTTCTGCCTGGTGGATAGCCTATATAAAACGAAGAGCTAGTATCACCAGTGGCAGAAGTCTTTGCGGACAGTAGGTGGTTGTTAATGTTCAACCATGTTCAGCAGAGCTTGCTGCGCAGTTCTGAGTTCGTTATACAGCCATTTCCATTTATCAGCAGTATTATCACTGCAGTGTTTTCTCCAGAGTAAGTACACATGGATATCGTCACCTCTTCCTTCAATAAAGTTTTGGCAGGAAACTAAAATCCAATGCCTGTATTTCTTCTTTCCTCCTACTATCTCTCTTTTTCTGTAAACAACCCACATATTAAGAAGACGAAACCAAAGTGTCAGGTCAGGTTGGTCTGAGATCACCTCCACAGAACAGACTCATTTTACAAGAACTTAGTTTTTGTTAGTTGGTAATAAACTGATACTTCGCAGTGGTAAATGGAACTTAAGAAGTTGATTGTGACTATAATATACAGAACTATGCTAACTGTTTCATTATTTTGCTGCTCTGTTGGAACCTGATTGTTTACAAGGCTTGCCATCTTGTGTCTCAAGTTAACAAGCAAACTTGGGTGAATGTGGCAGTTGCCTCCAAGCTGAGATGTGAGGAAACATGCAGTGAGGGTGAACCTAGGAGTTCTCTGAGCACACCAGTTGCTTGAACAGTAGTTTTCTGAAATTACCAGAGATGCATTGACCTAGGTGTTTGATTTTTAAAAATTCATTTTTATGGGAATCACATAAAGCTCAGAGCAAGATGAGCAGGTGTTCTGCATAGGAGAGGTGGGAAGGAGGATCCTCACACATTTTCCTTTCCCACGTTCAATAAACATCCTACTACAGGCTTCAGGAGTACCACACCAGTAAGAGATGTTAAACTAACACTACAGTCCCCCAGGGCTTACCAACACATTTTGATCTCATTGAGAGAAGCTATAAAGTATGTTCTACAGCATAACCCCTCATCTCAGTTAGGAATCTACGTGGAAGGCAGTACGAGTCCTTTTGCAACACAGGTACTGGGTCATAATTCTGTTCTGTGCTCCTGATTAAATACATATGGCTATCATACTTGCATATGTGAAATCGGTTTATAAAGTTGACTGTTAAAAGATTCCTTCCAGCTATGCTCATCAAACTCTTGCATGTTTTTGGGTTGTATCTCTTTACAAATCTTTAGCTACAAACTCTGCATTTTAACTTCTGTTACAATTAGAGCCCACACAACTGTGAGGAGTCAGATTTCATTTTGCTTTGGTATTGTCACTATCTCTTGACTGCATTTATTCTGCCTTGTAAAGTCATTTCCGAATATTGCAAGACTTGATGCAATTAGTAAGAAACTATAGATATGGAACTGCTGTTGATGCAGTTTTTTCCATCAGTTACATTTAAGTTCAGCAAGGGAATGTGCCTCCGTAAAAAAAACAAAACAAACCCTTATATTCTCAACAGTAAATAACAAAGTTGTCCATTTTCTATTTTTTTCTATAAATGCAGTTTCGTAATATATATATATTACTATATAGCAATTACAGAATTGCGTGTCCCATTTTGGTCATGATTATGAAGCTGATTTTGCAAAGCTTTGTCATGAGAAGTCCTACAGGTATGAACTGCATTGTTCAAGAGCAGAAAAGCGTAGTCATATGTAAGTGATGAAACAGTCTTAGGGAAATTGAAACAAATGGGAACCTCCTTAAGTTCAACATGTTTTCTCCTATACATTAAAACGCTTATTTATTTTCTGCTTTCCCTCAGTTGATTGATGTATGTCTCTAAGAGGCTTAATTTTAATCTTATTAAGTGACACACAGCTACACGAAGGTCAATGTACTGACATCCATTCTGTAATGATGTTAGGCTTCTTAATGTGGATTATTATAATTTCTATTTTACACCTATTTGATATGCTTTGCTAGGTTTTGTGACTGTGCTTTTTTTGAGACTTTTGAGACATTTATCCATGCTGTTGCAAACTCCCCAAGCTTTCTAATATGAATCAAGACATATTTGAAAGCCTATAATATCTGTCTTTGCTATTAAGTGCTATTTTATTCCCTATTTGGACAGTGTGTAAATGATACTAACATAGTTTTACTTTTTAAGAACTCCTGGACATTTTAATAATTTTTTTAAATGACTTTTACAATTTTTCTGAACTGGGATTTGTTATAAGCAGTTTCTTAAACCAGTCCCCTGTTGCAGGGGCCAGGTAAAAAATTTTCCTTTAGCACATAAAATGCCACATTACAGTTAGAAATAAGGTAAATCTTAAAATGAGAGAAAACAGGGTGTAGCTGGTTTTCAAATCAAGGAAAAGGCAGAAATTACTGGAAAAGATGCTAAAATTCTTCTAGATTTGTTATTATGAAGTCTGCGTATAACAAACCCCAGGTTGTAAAAATACCAAAAGCAAAAATCCCAGGCAAGGTTTTAAATGATGATCAACTCTGTCAGAACAAATACAAAACTGATCATTGATTTAGGTAAAAAAAGATCTACTTTTCTTCTTTTCCTTCAAAACATGCTATATTTAGCATACAAACATATCTTCTTTGTAAGTCCTTTACAATTTTAATAATAACTAATGCAAAGTAACGTCCAAAAGTAATTGGTGGTCAGTTTGAACCAATATTTGCTTATTCTTCTGAGGCAGCTAAGTGCCAAACCACAGTATATGTGAATGCTTATATATAAAAGTCTCTTGGAGGTCAGCTGTGGGAAGTTTAGGCTTCTATTCAACTTTTTGAAACCACATTGTTTTCTGTAAGATTAGGTAAATGAAGGAATTTAAAAACAAACCAAGTCCTCTGTAATTCTTTTAGTACTTCCAGACATGTACTTTACAAACAGAAATTGAAACCCATTTCTACAAGCACTATAGTAAGTGCCAGTGGAATCGCTCAGCTGTGTAAAATTAAGCATATGTATTTATGATGTCAAGACCTCAGAAGCATAATTTTTTGCATGGAAAGAAAAGTGAAAAATATATTCACAGACCAAGTCTAATCTTAAGGAAAGAATACACATAACTACAGGCAGATAGGATGAAAGGACTTATCTCGTTTCAGTGCAAGCAAATTCAGTAGTAGAAGGCAGATTGATTGCTCAGTTAAGTTAATGTATAAAGTGAAAAACTGTCTCTGTAGATGGTTTCATGCACCAGTTGTTCTGAGCAGTCATAAAACATTTATTCCACTACTCTACTGACTTATATCCAATATTTTAATGCTTTGTAACACCTGTCTTTTGCTCTGGTCGGAACCTAAGTCCACTTTACTTGTAACTGAGGAGTAACTGACAGGTCTGGGCAACTAGCCTAAGAAAAGAAAAACGGCTCATCTTCCTTATCTGGGAAAGAAAATAATTGGGGGGCTTCTGCACAGAAAATGTATATCCTAATAAAGAATTCATTTGACAGATCTTTTGTTTAACTAGAGCACATCAATATAACTAAATCACACCAATGAACTTTGTAGGTATGGAAGCTGAAACAAGAAATCCAGAGATATTAGTAGCGACCAAAAGAGAAATAAACTCAGAGTTAAATTGTAAAATTACCAACTATTTTTCACTGGGCAAGAGGTATCCCAGATGCTCTAAGCTGCCTTAGAGAATATTTCGTTCAACCCTGAGAACAAAATCAAAGATGTGTTTCAGAGCAGTTAAGGCTCCTTTGTAAGAGGACAAGTATATTTAAGAGAAATTTATCTCTTTTGAATCAAACTTTTCTTATCATTTGTAGCAAATTGAGACAGAGCAAGCATATTGTTTCCCTTGTGGCTATCTGTAGAACTTGAATTTATTAAATACACTTTCAGGGTAGGAAACAGAGAAGTACTGTTTCAGAGTGCAATGCAAAATTAGCATCAAATGTTCACATCTTTAACAGTGTGATTCAGTGATGCCTCAAGAAACCCAGAATAAACTTTAATAACACAGATATCTGGCAGCTTCAGTTAGAAGCTGCTACTGTTTATATTGGTTATTAGATAGGCCTAGCATCGCTTTTAGGAATAGTTCACAATACTTACTCCCTCTACCTTTTCTAATAGCAGTTGTAGCTGACACTTGTAACTACAAAGGGGAAGAGGAACTTCAATTTTGTTCATTAGGGAAACAATTCTAGCTAAACCCCTTACATTTACTGTGAAAAAGTAGCAAAAGATTTTAACAAGTTAAAAAATTACTGGAAATCAATGGTTATTTGACCATATAAAAAACAAGTGAACATTTGGCTCCTAGTTGTAAACTATGATGTTCTGAGTTGCATACAAAATATCACTGTATCAAGGTGAACTGGTGCTTGGAGACTGCAGGATAATGAAAATGCTATGGGAATATATTTACACATCCTTGAAAAGTAAGTAAAAATAAAACCAGGTCTGGCAGCATTTCATCAGTACTTAGAATGTGGAATAAGATTCTCCTACTTAAAAGCCACCACCATCTGGGAAGCCCAGCTTTTGGTTACAGTGCACTACAGAAGATATTTTTACTGAATTTTTTCCTACCTGGAGTTGTTTAATTTTGCTGTGACTGATGTAGAGTCTCCTGGTGGTGAAAGGAATCTCCCTGGGGATCTCCGTAGCTCTGTAGCATTGCACTGATCGGGCAGGGTCACAGCTGCATCTTCTTGGACAAGTGGTACTTAGACCACTGTGGAAAGAAAAGAAGACGACTAGAAGGTCAGATAAATACATTTTCTAAAACAAGAGCTCTGAAATTGTCTCAGCAACATACAGCTTGAATTAAGCACCGAAGTCCTTTTATACCATGTAATCTGATAAAAGGATATTATGACTGTGTGTTTTATCCCAGTGAAAAAACAGCAAAAACAATACCCTAATTTGCCTGGGTTAAAATGTTGGCAGGCATTACAAAGAGTGAGAAACTTAAACAGTGATAAGGTGCCCTTACATTTGTAGGTATGCGAAATTAGTGTTATTTATTACCTGACATCTAATCTGCAAACATCTATATTATCTCCAGTTTCCTAGTTTTGTTAAATGTGACACCACAGAATTAGTGGAGAAAAGATAAAGAGCTGTTTTATAGTGGGGCTGTAAAACTTTTGTGTCTTCTGTGACCCAGTATAAGAAACAGTAAAAACACAACTACAGCCAACACCAAAGCTTTTTCACTCTTCCTCTTGCACTATTCAGATCCCCCCCAAAACCTCCAAACTCAGCTATTTTAAAACTAAAACATTCCATTCACTTTCTGAGTATCTGTGGTATAGCTGAGTGCTGCTGATTAGTACTTATTTTTTAGATTGGACAAAAATCCGGGTTAGCTGTGTTTGTCTACTTCTCATAAATCAAAGTTTAATTATTCTTGTATTTGAAAATGACAAGTGTGAAATACTTGAAAGCATCTAGTATAAATCAAGGGTCAGACGCTTGATAGGACCTATTTACCCCACGACAGGTGGAGAACACTATGGTTCCCCTCACAGTTTTCTCTCTACTTAATAGTGCTTCTCTCACATATCTACTAGCTGTGCCAGCTAGAGATGCAAAGTTTTAAAAGGCTTACAGTTTGGCTTGTGATTATTTTAGAAAATTTCTATGCATTATTTTTTCCTTTATACTCAGCAATTTATGGCGTACAAAGCAGTGTACTTCGGAAACCTTTGTATCTTATACTGATCTGCTTTCTGCTGTTACCTGCTTCCTTCCATCCTCTCCATCATATCGTACTACTACATCATACTACTTAGTAGTAACTAATCCTATTCCTTGAATGCAGAATTAGGCCAGTTATTTTCACAAGCAGAAGGTGATGTCAAGTTGATATGAGAAATGGATGACTGAACTGGGGACAGTCCTTGATGGGAATGCCTGTTGGATTCAGCTGGGTTTAGACTGGAGAATTGACACATTGCCTCCTGGAGATCCTTCTGTCTCCTTAATCCTTGGCACTGCTAGTGCAGAACTGCAACCCAGCATTTGCTAAACCACACAGCAAGAGCAGAAACCTCTAATGCAGCCTGCCATACTGGCACGTTTAACAGGCTATGTAGAAAAACCATGCCTGACTTATGCCATATGCATCACTTGAGCAAAAATGAGCGGATGAGCAGAATTAGCAGTAGTGCTTTAAAACAAGTATTTTAGCATAACTTCATCTAGGGTTTAATACATGGTTTGTGCTTTTGTGCTTTCTAAAAGAGTCAAAGTACCCAGACAAAAGTGTAAAATCTGATATCCTGACAGCTACTTGAGGTACATTTCAGCACTCCCGGAACAGTCTTTGATCCCATCTTTCCGCTGACTTGAGTTTAAATGCTGAGGTCACTAGGACAATAGAGCTCTGGATTTTATGTAGGGATTTCTGTTCCTCAAATATGTCATCAAAAAGCAACTGCTTTTTGCTCAAGGATGGTGAAAAAGAAATGCAGATCAAACCCTATGTTCTGCAGTTTAGAGCTCTAGAGTACTGCAGAGCCAGTCTAAGTTAGTTCAGGTAAGAACCATATATTGCATCCTTCCCTGTTTTGTAAATTACAAGTCACTCAGCTGACATTAGAATTCACAGCGCTAGTTCACAAGGCAGCATCGTAGTAAGGTGCAATATTCTTGGCTCTTTGCATTTTTGAGTAATATCTATATCCTTGGTCTTTTCAAACTAATGAAAGTGAAGTTTATTGGTTTATCCATTTATTTCTGATATATGTTTGCTTTCAGTAGCTAGGTATTTTAAAGTGATAGCTATGAAAGATGATCCTACTAAATCTGTTCTGTACAAATTCTGACATGCATCCATCAGAGTTGATGCCCCTTTGCTTTTGCACAAAACTATGACCTTTGGGGCTTTTATTGATTCTAGGAGACCTGATGGCACCAGAAATGACAAAAAGCCACAGAACTGTATGAATGTACGCCTAATGGGAAGATGTGAGCTAAACTAAAAAAAAAAAAAAAAGGTGAATAAACATTCCAGGATCTCCATTGTGGAAGCAGTGCTGCTGGCCTGTGAGTTACACAGCTTTGCAGCGGGATGTTAGGAAAGTCAAACACTAGTGGCTGTTTACTGCCAGCAGTTTTTATGCAAATTTTCCATGCCAGGTGGGGATTCCCATGCGAGATTAGTGGCATGATGTTCCCCTCCATCATTTCTGTCAGAAAGAATGAACAATAGCACCTGTAACCTGCCCATGCGAGAAGTCCCAGGGACATTCTACATGGTGTGTGCTTTAAACAGAAGTAAACGCTTCAGATCAAAACTTGCTAACTCCAAAATCCTCACCAGACTCTTTTGTATCATTTGTATTTGATATGGACATTGGTTTTTGAATATTATGGCAAAAGTAAAATGTATTGGACAAATTTGCATAAAACATGAGTTGGAGTTGAAGGAAGGTAAGTCTTTCAGGATTGAAGAAGATCTGAAGAAGAGCTCATAAAGAATTCTAAAGTTTGGGATTTTTTTTCCAGATATATCAGTTAGTCTAGTATTAGATTTTGTACAAGCTTCACCTCATGCAAGATCTCAGCATCTACAGTACTAGTGTTTGGGCCTTTCTTCACCAAAGTTAGAGGTCTGACAAAAGCACACACATGTATGTCAAGGAATTTTTTTTTATCTAAGATTACATTTAGAAAATCACATGAAAGTACGATGACATTAAAATTAGAAGAATGAATCTGCAAAACACTAGGTGCATAGCTTTTAGAAATGTCTGAGTTAAGAATGCCCATAAAACCTGAAAGTGGATACCTTGTAATGTACACGATGGCACAGACCACACAAAGGAATGCAGTCTTATCACAAAAGACATGGAGAACCTGAGCTTTTGTAGTCGGGGCGTCCCTTGTCTATGGAAAGAAGAAATTGCAGGAAAAGACCAGCTTAGAGCCTGCAGAGGGTAAGGGTAGGAGTTTGGTCCCTGAGGGATAGAATCATAGAACAGTTTCACCTGGAAGAGACCTAGAAGATCATCAAGTCCAGCCTTTGTCCCAGCCCTGTCAACCTACTAAACGATTCCCCCCAGCGCAACATCCACCCGTCTCTTAAACACCTCCAGGGACAGTGACTCAACTACCTCCCTGGGCAGCCTGTTCCAAGGGCTGACAACCCTTTCAGTAAAGAAATTCTTCCTAATATCTAACCTGAACCTCTTCTAGCGCAATTTAAATCCATTTCCACTCATCCTATCACTCTCCACTAGGGAGAACAGACTAACCCCTGTCTTTCTACAACCTTCCTTCAGGTAGCTGTAGAGAGTGATGAGGTCTCCTCTCAATCTCCTCTTCTCCAGGCTGAACAGCCCCAGATCTCTCAGCCTTTCCTCACAAGACTTACGTTCTAAGCCCTTTACCAGCTTGGTAGCCTGCCTCTGTACCCTCTCCAGCACCTCGATGTCCCTCTTGTAGTGAGGGGCCCAAAATTGGACGCAGTACTCGAGGTGGTGCCTCATCAAAGCTGAGTAGAGGGGCATGATCACCTCCCTGCTCCTGCTGACACCATTCCTGAAACAGGCCAGGATCCCATTGGCCCTCTTGGCCACCTGGGCACACTGCTGGCTCATGTTCAGCCGGCTGGCCATCAACACCCCCAGGTCCCTCTCTGCCTGGCAGCTCTCCAGACACTCCTCCCCAAGCCCATAGCTCTGCTGGGAGTTGTTGTGGCCAAAGTGCAGGACCTGGCATTTGGCCTTATTGAATTTCATGGAGTTGGCCTTGGCCCAGTGATCCAGCCTGTCCAGATCCCTCTGGAGAGCCCCCCTAACCTCAAGCGGATTCACGCTTCCACCCAGCTTGGTGTCGTCTGCAAACTTACTGGATGTGACAAGCAGAGGCAGTCTGGCAACTAGGAGCTGCTAAGCGATGGCGTATGCTCTGAAGAATCCTTGGCATATTTAGCTGCCATATGCTATCAAGAGCCTGCCACTGCATACGTGTGAATTTATCATTATTTTTTGCTGGAGGCTTTTAACTTGGATTTGGACCAGTTTTTCATAGGGACAACAAATAGCATTTATCTGCTGCAAAGGTTACCTCCAATCAAGTGCTTCTCTCCAGACTGGATTGGGCTGCTAAGGGAAACAATCACAACATTTTAAAAAACATTATGTTTCCCTTAATCATCTGTTGAAATAATCTGAACTGCTTTACAGCTATGTTTCCTAAACAATGAGCCTCTTAGGGTTACACTGAATCAAGAATGTCAGCCTAGATGCATTCTAGGTAAACTAATACCTAATTAATATAAAGATTATAAATTTCTTACAAGTGATTTTGTGTTTTATCCCTAGAAATTAAAACTGCATGTAGAGTTTCACAAAAACAGTCAGAGGCCTGTTTGAAAATGATGTCTCAATCTTCTTCATAAGCCAAGAGTTCTGTGGAAGTATTTTTTTTATCTGCTTTCAGAGCATACGGAGAATGTGCTTTCTAACTCCAGGCAAGGTCAGCTTTGTACACTGGAAACAGCCACTGGATGACTTAAAGAAGATTTTTCCTCCACACAATAAGATAGGCTTCCTTTTCTTCCTCCATGCTGGCTACATAGAAGAGATGCAAATGGTAACTCCTTAGGAATTTCTTACATTTCACCTGCCTGTAGCACGTTTGCATTCCAGAGGAATAAAGGATGAAACTTTCTTAACCAAAAATTGCAATATCGAGGAGTTTTAGTCATTGCCAGTTTTACAATAGTGCTGAGGGATGCTAGCCAAGACCAGATGCATCTGGGTAGGCACCCCACAAACAATGAATAAGCAACACCCACTTGGAGAAGGTCAGTTTAAAGAATTTCATACATGTATGCCACTAATGCTGCTGTAATTGGCCTTCAAGCTAATGGCATCCCCTTGATGGAGAACTGTTCATTAAACACTGAGGCACAGCTGGCAGTGCCCATGAAACCACAGGTTATGGCATGGTGTAATGACAGTTTCCTAGTAATGATATTCCAGGTTAGTCCCAAAAGGAAAGAAGAGGGGGAAATAGAGATGGCAGATAGGATGGCCAAATCCATTCTCAACCTAGAATTTAAACACACAGGTCTTTTGAACATGGACATTTATGTAAGATCCGTAATAAACCTACGTAAGAGCATGCCTCATGCAGGACCATCTAAAAGTAAATTGTCAAGGATGGATTATCCAATCAATTCTGGAACCAGGACAACTCTTTCTTGTGTTTTGAGCACACAAAAGTGCTTCAGGTCAGCAGTTAACCGTGACCTGTGAGGACTTTTCAGCCCTGTACGGAGCAAGTTTGTTCTGGCTCCTCCATTTCATGTGAGTGTCTTTAGCCTTTAAGAGCTGCCTGCAAGTGACTGCCCATCCAATGGAACCGGAATAGAGCTTAAACTGTAAAAACTGTCTTCTGTTCAAACATTGAGGCACTGTTCCAACAAGATCAGGACTCTGAAACACCTCTTTTCTAAATTATACCCACTGCGTGCACAAAAAGCGGGTTTCATCCTTCCACGCTACCAAAGCTGAACATTTTGGGCCTCTGTTTTTTCATTTTAGAAAATAAAACAAAAAAAAATTAGAATTAAAAGAGTTAAGCATAAGTGGATACGTAGAAATAAGCATGGGAATAGGACCACAATAAGCACTGTAAAAAAAAAAAGGTGGTCTGAAGAAGTGACTTGTGGAAATCGTCTTGTGTAAAAAGAGACCAATAAGGAGTGAATGTTCCCTGAAAACAGTAGTGAGTGGATTGTTGCAACCAT